AAGAAGAAAGAGGATAGGAAAGAAAAATAATTAAAGAAACCAGTTGAAATGTGAACTTTTTGGGGGTAACTTTTATTGTTTTTGTTCTTTTGGCCGTTCTGTCGGTAGTTTCATAAGCGAATGATTCAGTTTTATGTGAGGGGTTTCGTACTTTGTATTTCTGATTAAACGACCAGCATTAGTTTTGTAGGGATTTGGTTTGATTGTAATGTCACGGGTTCGAACCCTGCTGGGCGCATACTGATGAAGAGTGCCAAACTAGGCGGACGAAACAGATGTCCAGTACTCCCTGGCAGGTTTTCCAGTGGTTCTCTAAATGATATCAGCTCATGATGAAATCCTCCATACAATCTAAGGGAGGAGTCTTTCAGAATAGATTTTAGGAAGTTTCTATTCATGCCTTTTTCATTTCAAGTGAAATATTAGACTTCATGGGTTTAAAGATTTATGAAGAGCGGGATTGTTTTAATTATTCGGAGTTGGGATTGTGAGTTTTCCGACGTATTTTTCCGTGCTTACTGGTAATTTGGTGAGCGTTTAAGTGTGTGACGGCTGGAAGTCGAGCCCGGAGCTGGGCTGTTACTGACAGCGAGCATTGTACCGTTAAATCAACGATACACTTAGGAAATTTTATTAGAAATTAATTGAATGTGTTGGTGGCACAGCAGTATAATGCTCGATAAACATGTATGTGGTCAGGGGTTCGATCCACGGCTATTGGACGCATTCCTCCTTTACCTTGTTAAGCCTGTAATAAAACTGGTAAAGAGGAAAGGTTGGATGTGTGGTTAGTGACCCCATCCTGCAAAAAGAAATGCCACTGCTACTGAAACTTCAAGCTTCTCATTTGAAGCTCTCTGTCCCACGGGGAACGTAAAGGAATTAAAAAAATTTGAAAAATAAACGCCTAGGAAATTTTATTAGAAATTATAATCGAGTGTTATTTATGTTTCGTACTTTTTAATATTTTTTTTACTCGCTGAAGTTTCTATAGTGGTTTGGTTGGTAATTCCAGGGTAGGGTCGCTAGCCCCACACAAAAACCTTCCCCCTCTCTTTACCCGAGCATGGAACCAGCTAGAAAACTAGCGTGCCAGTAAACTAGGTGAGGTCACGAAAAAGAATTTCCAATAGGCCAGTGCAGACTTATATCAACAGCTATCCCCTTCGCTTACTCCATGTTGAAGATCAAATGGCTGGCTGGCTGGCCGGTCAGAAGGACACACGCCACTGAGGAGACAGTCAAATAACATCGCGCCTAGTGCAAGTCATCGCTTGAGTGAAAGGTGATTGGGAGGCGAGCGATGAGTTGGCCGTTGGTTCGAGATTGACATGAAGGAGATGAGAGGTTATGGGGAATCGTGGAGCTAGGTTGAAAGAAGACATCAGAGAATAAGGCAGAGTGAAGACGTGCTGTTAAAGCCCTATGTTTCACTCGGAGCCCCTAAAGAACACTAATAATAATGTGTTCCGAATGCATCTAGCAGTCACGAAGACAGAGTGCTGTTTCACACTTCCTGAGAATGAAATAACATAGCCTAGCAGTTGTTAAGATTAATTCATCCACAGTTTTATTCATAAAAGACATCAAACTCCTAAAATAATTTTAAGAAATTTCGTGATAAAACTCTCCTTTATTATAATTAACATTGAGAAGTGATTAAATAATCATGGATATGAAACAAGTAATGGAATATACTGCAAAACAGTAAATTAAATGAACTGCAATCAATTTTTTTTTATTCCTTTACGGGGGGAGAGTCAAGATAGCGGCTTAAAGTTTCGGTAGCAGTAGTGTTTATTTCTACGGAATGGGGTTGCTAGCCTTATGGCCGACCTTCCCTCTTTACTGGTCATAATACTGGCTTAGCGAGGTGTAGGAGGAGTGCGTCCAGTAGCCGGGGATCGAACCCCGGACCACATACTGATAGTTTAATTTCAGTTGTCGGAATTCGTCATGAACCAGCATTAGTTATAGAGGCCATTGGAAGGCAAAAAGCACTGGACGGATGTTTCACTCAATTTTAGGGTTCTTCAGCAACATGCACATGTGACCCATCCTCGCTAGGAGTTGAATCCGTTACCTTAAGGTCATGAAACCAAGTTCGTTAACCTCTCAGGCATTTGGGTCGGAATTCAATGGTAATAAGAGGAGAAAATTCAGCTAGACATTTAGTGTCTGTGTGTGTGTGATGAACTCGCAGTACTGTAACATTCACTCATTCATTCACATAACAGCTGTGGAATTCAACATGAAAGTGATTACACTAAATGTTGACTTGGTTAACAACTGATTCTCATAAATCAGATGGCAAGTTGTGCGTTGGTGACACAGCCGTAGGATGCTCGCCAACCATGCATGTGGTTCTGGGTTCGATCCCCGGCTACTGGATGCACTCCAACTTTACCTCGCTAAGCCACTAATAAAACTGGTAAAGAGGGGAGGTTGGGCGTGAGGTTAGCAAAGATGATAAGAGCTACATGTCTAGTAGTTGCGGGGAGACTGGTTTGGAGGCCTGCTTAAAACTTGGGCTACCAAAGACCTCCATCAATATATATTGCATATAATTTATCATGTTCACTTTGTTTTAACTGATAGAAATATAGCCTCTAATGGTATTATTTACTCTTGCGGGTATTTAAAGTGTATACAACCTGCTGATTCAGCAGTTTCTACTAAACTTGAGGAAAAGAGAACATTGGCACCAATAAAAACTGCTCATTTGAAATATACACATTACTGCCATATTGCTTTACTAATATGAATAAGTCTTTTATGTCAGATGTCAGAAACTCTCAACGATTAAAATGATTGAGCCTAATGAATTATCATATTTTATTCTTATATTGGCTGCTGGTGGGTGGATGGCAGTGAAATGCAGAACGCTCGTTTGGACTTATTGGCGGCTCATCAGCTAGATAAACCTGTTTCCCAGAGAGGGATAGGATTCCTCTTGGGACTTGAACTCAGCACAAAACACCTTCAAGCAAACACAGATAAAGTCGACTGTTGGTATACTACTCATACGAAAAATGTAAGCGTATGCAGTTTTTAACATAAATTAAATACACATTGAAGTGGCCCAAAGCGGTAGTTTATCCTCCCCACATCCATTTATCATTTGTCGGCTGTAGAAATTGATCCGTAGCTCAGCCACAAAGAAGGCTTTTCTCAGTGATCTGCATAGGCGATTCTTCAGAATCTCAGTAGCGGTGACACCTTTAAATTCAACGTACATGAACAGCAGTTTTAGGTCATTTCTGGATTTCGCTTTATTCACTTTCGACGAGGACTTGTCTAAGTAGCTCCAGTTCCCCGTCGACTGTTTCCTCCTTATTCTTATTGAATGGATGTGTGAAGGATAAACTACCACCATTTTGGGTCACTTCAGTGTGTGTGTGTTTATAAATTCACCTACTCCTGCGGAGCTAGTTATATTAGCTGCACAAAGCGCACACATTCCAAACGCATCTCTGAGCATAATATGGCATGGTTAGCAAAAGGACAATGGAAGACAGTTACTGGTTCCATAAATTAAATATCATGAAGTCGGTCAGTTTCAAGGCATCATCGAATCCTTCGTATTCTAAGTCGAAATGTCAACAAATATTAATCATTTCAGTTCAATCTAAAGGAATCGATGGAAGATTCAGGGTAATTACTTCATTTATTAAGACATCAGATTCCTCTGCACAATAGGTAGCTATCATAACTCAGTAGCCTAGTGAATGATGCCCTGATATTTGAAACGCTGGCCGACTCTCATCACATGATTTCATCATATAACCAATCTAATCCCTGAAACCCATTATTTGAGAGTTAATCTAATGCTCACTAGCGACTGATCCTATTCAGTTAGTTAGTTACCTGGATTCCAGTAAGATGCAGCACGTCGTGCGGGAATGAGGACATATACTCCCCAGCAATGATATTAGTCATTGTCAGTATCGCTATATCGTGTGTGAATTGGCAGAAGATGAAATTTTGTGGGCTAGCAATTGGATTGGGTTTCAATGGCTTAATGGTCTACGAGCTTGTTCGCTTAGTAACTGGAAAGTTGTGGGTTCGAATCCTACCACTGAGGTGGTTGCGTACTGCTGGAGAGTCCCAAACTAGGTTGACAAAACAGCTATTTAGTACTCCAGTGCAGGTTTTCCAGTGGTTGTCTAACCGACATTGGCTCATAATGAAATCCTGAAAGGCGTATAATCTTTTACGGAGCTGTTCAAAATACCTCCACTGTCTAATCGTGTTAATTCCTGGAATTCAGAAATATTAGAAACAGATAGATGTTCTTTATATTATATTTGCTATTGTCGCAAACATAACTTCAATTGACTATTAACCTGTAAATGAAAAACTATTACTTTTAAAAGTGATTGTAAGACCAAAAATTGTGTGGTTTTGTAAAAGAAACGCGTATTAATCAGGGGAAATCCTAATCCCCTGGGATACAGGTTGCTGTTTTAGACCAGTATACATATATATTTCAAGTTCCAATGTGAAGTGTTGTAGTAAATTGGTGGCTGGTTACTAGCAGTGGAATCTAGGTTAATGCGCGTTTCGTCCTATTTGAGACTCGTCATCCGTTGGACGTACCTGCATTCCCCAGTGAGTAACTGATGGTGTTCCCACTGGTCTATTGGATAACGCTTTGACATTTGAAACTATGGGCACTGGGTTCGAGCCTCGTTGGGGGAGAGGAACAACATCACTGACTCATTGGGGAATTCAGATATATCCAATGACTGACGAGTCCCAAATACGGCGAAATACACGTTATCCTAGATTCCACTGCTAATCGCCATCCATCAGTAATTTACTTCGAGTTAAATAATCAGACATCGTCGAAGCATCTGTATAAGGAACCAACATATCAACCTGAGGCCAAGAACTTCAGTGTCCAATCAATCAAAATCGAAGTGTTACAGATTAACAGAAAGATTTAATACCAAAAACCCACAAAAATGACAAACAATTTAAATACAATTTAGACTTACTGTATTTACAGCCTGGTGAAGCACAAACTACAAATATCTCTGAATGCAGTGACTGTAAACCATCTTCATCGGCACAAACACAGCAAACATTTAACGGTACAGCACATGTACTAATCGATGAATTATGCTGTTTTTGATGAACCCCTTGAAGATCAATAATTGAATGAAATGATTCACCTCTTGTATCTTCATTGATACCAGTTAAATAGGTTGATGAATGCGGAAGTCGACTTGCAGTAATTGTTGTTCCTGGCGTTGGTGTTGGTGTTGACGTCGGCGTTGATGTTCTTGTTGATAGTGAACACTGTTTTGGAATATCTGTCATCTCATCAATTGAAACATTTAATGAATTGATATAATCATTTGAATGACATGACTTAGATCTAATTCTGTTTCTTTCAAAGAAACTTTAGTGTATAATTCCATAAGTCTTTTACAGAAAATAATAGCAAAAGTTCACTCAACTGGAATTAAATGTATATTTTTGTTTTGTTTTGAATATTTTTGTGCCTTTTACATAACTTTATTCTTCTCCCTGAGAAGTAATCATGAGTAGTACTTTTGTATCACATTCTTCACTTTTAGAAAAATACGCCCTTATTCATAAATAATCACATTATTCGTGTGTAAATTATAAATATCTACACACATATATATACGTATAATAAATGTACTTTGAAAAAATGTCCATATAAAGGTCAGATTAAGGACTAAAATTCTATTCTATATAGCCTTCTCTTTCTTTCTCTCTATCTATCTATCTATCTATTGTGTCAACTAGTTTTTATTTCCTTTATGTAGTATACCATTTTAACCAATCAAAATTCAGTTGGGGACTCTCTGATTGGTTCATTTGCACAACTAAACAAATAAATAGAATAGCCAATAAGAAGTTAGCAAAATCCTAATATGAGAACTATTACAGCCAACAATTTAATAGCCATTGTTCTTAAGGCTGTGTTGTAATATCATCATTTGTAAAATAATCTGATGTACTTTTTTGCTTGTTGTTGTTGAACGTTGTGTACTAATAATGCTTTTTTTTCAGTAATATACATTCTTATTAAATCCTGAAATCAATTAGAGAAAGTGGAAGTTGTATATTTTATGGTATGACGTAGTTCGAATCCCGAGAAGTATTTCCAATAGGGCAGCCAGTATAGACTTTTAGCAACAGCTAACCCCTTTAACTGGCGTTATACTGTAGATCTAATAGATGGCTAGCCAGAAGGAATCATTATGCATTTATTCCCCTTGATGAATTTGAATAAAGCGAGAACAACAGTGGTTTGTGTAGAATAATATGGTACCACCATCGCCTATTTCGTTGGCTTCTTATCAGCTGCTTACAGCCTAAATAAATTATGAGGTTTAAGTACAGAAACGTCATAACATACTTGCAAATCTTACATGTTGTCAGTTGACAGAAAGTTCCACAATTAGTAAACAGTGCTCAGAAAATTGAGCTTATATAGTTTTTACACAGGCAGTTCAAGTTAAAACAAAATAAATGTATGCATATAATGGTAAGGGAGTTACATAATAAAGATGAGATGTGCGTTAGATGCATAGTGACTGATAAGTTAGGTAACAATGTACTGAGTTGAACTCAAATCATAGAAACAAGAGACAAGCAAAATTGCAGATAATAATAGGAGGGTGAGGTTAATGACAAAGATTACGTAATCAGATGAGAGAAAAAAGACATCCAATTACCAAGGCAAAGAAAGACTAATAACTGATTCTTTCTGAACACATAAATCTGGTTTCAAGCGTTTGATAGAAATTGCTTCGGCAAACTTGAGGAGAATGGAGCTCCTTTGTCTATTGATAATTTTGAAGGATTTCTCGATTTCCACCTCATGACCCTTGTCGAGGAGATGTCTGGTAATAGCGCTACTATAAGAGTTTGTTCCCTTGAGACGTAGGCTTTTCGGCACATGTTCAGAAAATTGGAGGTGTGCCCTTCTTTCTGTTCTCCCAATGTAACTGCTCCCGCAGATACACGTAAATTTGTATATACAGTTGGAGTTAACATGAGAAGAGTATCTATCGACTTTTGACTGCACCAAAGAGCATTTTGTTCGATGGACGGGAACCAACTTAGCTGCAGGATAGGCTCTGGCTAGTGACGTTCTCAGTCTTCTGTTGACCATTTCTGCAATGTCTTCACGCTTAAAATCTAGTTGAATGAAGACAGGCTTTTTTTCAACTGTGATTTGTTTGGTATTTGAGCCTTCACATCTTCCATATTTGTTAATGAATCTTTGAGGATAGCCGTTGTTTTTCAGCACCTTTTCGAGATTCGTAAATTCTTCCTCTAGTTTCTCTGCAGAGCATATTCTCCTCGCTCTATAGTACAGAGTCTTGACTAGTGCTGGTTTATAGCTATTTGGACAAAAACTATTAAAATGTAAGTATTGTCCATTCCATATGGGCTTTCGGTAGATTGACCTCTGGAGACTACCATCTTCTAGGCGTTTTATGGCGACGTCAAGGAAGTGGAACTTTCCATCATTTTCATGTTCCATAGTAAATACAATATTTGTATGTGCGTTGTTGAATAGTCTGAGTAGGTAGGAGGCATGACTTTCGTTGTTGCATACTACAAATGTGTCATCGACATATCGACAATAGGAAGTTGTTTGATCAATTGCATGCTTCAGCTTTGTTTTTCTCAAGGTTTGACATAAAGATATCTGCTAAAACACCCAGCCCCATTTTCCCCCGTCCCATAATAGGTTGGATTTTAATTTGGGGGAGAAAGAAGATTGACAAATGATTCAGTTGTTTATTGTTGATTATTGTGAAAAGGAGGTGTCAAATTATCCAGAACTTATTTTAAAGCCATTAATTTACCTTCCGGCGAAAAAATGAGTTTTACGGTATACATGCCTAGCCGTTGGCGAATGGGTTCCAACTTCTCCGCAAGCTAACGGGCTACCTTATGTTGGGGAGAGTTGGTCATCGAAAGTATAGGTCTCAGAGGGACTTCTTTCTTGTGTGTCTTTGGAAGGCCATACATATATGGCAAACGGGACCCTCGGGGTTTCAATTCATTGTACGTGTTGTTGTCAATCAAATTCTTCTTTAGAAGATCTCTCAATACGTTTGTGATGCGTTTTTCAGTTGCATCTGTCTTGTCTTTCTGGCAGTCGTCGACTTTGAACCTCAAGGAATCAGTAACAAGAAACTGTGGAGTGGAACCAACTAAACATGTTAATTAGTAGGTGGTGACTAGCAGTGGATGGAATCCAGGATAACGTGCATTTCGTCCTATTTGAGAGTGATCAGTCACTGGATGTACCTGAATTCCCCAGTGAGTGATGATGTTCCCACAGAGGCTCAAACCCAGTGCCCATAGTTTCAAACACAAAGGCAGGTTATCCACTAGACCACTTCGACAACGAGAAGCAAATAGGACGAAATGTGCATCCTGGATTCCTCTACTAGTCACCATCCACCAATTAACTTCTAATTACATGCCCATACATTGTTGAAGCATCTGCACAAGAGGCCGACATACCAACCTGAGACCGAGCACTTCAGTCCAATCAATCGACGGGAAAATATGTAGGAAAAAATGGAGGTGAATTGGACACGCTCCACTGAGGAGACCGTTAAAATGGCATCGCTCTCAATGTAGGCCGTCACTCGAGCGCAACCTGATTGGAAAACAACGAGTCGGGTGTGTGTCTGAGGGTGACATCGAGGAAATCGTTTGAGGAAGAGGTGATCGGAGATTATGAGCAATCATGGGCTCAGCGAAAGAGTCCTATATTCCACTTGAAACCCAAAGGAAGAGTAATATTAACAGAACAATAATAACTCCACTAGATTCTTTAATAGGCTAGCGAAACAAATGAGAAAGCCAATACAGAAAGCATGAATTGTAGGCAAAAATAGAGTAGAACATGAGTACTTCTCGCGGAATTAAAGTTTCAGTGTGTACAGATTGCTTTATCCAACCATTAGTATATGTAAGTTTACCAGATTAAAGAGCACGAATTCCTCTTCTCTCTCTTACAGCATCATTTTACTTCACTGTTAATATTAGAATCAGCTTTTATTGAAGTCTTAACCGCCTTCTTCTTCTTCACCCTCACCTTCCCTCCCCTCTAGCGTCAGTAAAAACTAATAAAAATACATATTTTAAAGAAATCCACAAAAAATAATAAAAGTTCATTTTCATGTCTTTAATCAGGTCGTCATATGCAAGTCAGCTGCCAAATATATGCATATCGTTTAAAAAAAATCAATAATGCCCTTATCAACGACCATGTGTAGATGAATAGTTGGTTTAGTTTATATTCCTGTGATAAATATAGATAGTTTTTTAGTTAATAAGATAAGTATATATGAAAAGTAAAACACATAGTTCAAAGAAGAGTCTCTTTTCAGAGGCGGCTTCATTTCCACACTTTAGCTGTACAACCGCAAGTATTATTATTATTATTGTTTCCTTTAATTCCTAGAGGAACATAGGGCTTCAGCCGCACGTAGCCAGTGTGTTCGGTTCTCCACCAACGTCTGGTTCACCTAGCTCCATGTCTGCCCACATGCTTTCATCTCATTTTCACCCTTGCACTGACGACCGACTCGCCGCTTCCCGTTCGGATTTCACTCGAGCGATGGCCTGACGTGTGATGTCACTTACCTGATGGTTTGTTTTTGCAGAGTATGGCCTCCAATCCACCTCCATATCTTCCTGTATAGCATGTATATATATATATATATATATATATATAGGTTATTTTGTATGTATGTGTACACTTGCGTCGAAAAAGAGGCACAGTGGTTAGGACTCTCGCCGACTATGCATATGGTCGTGGGTTCGATCCCCTGCTGACGCACACCTGATATCTATGGTCGGCCTGCAAAATTTGGGCTACTGATATCCATGCTGAGAATTCCATACTTGTACGAAAAATACAGTGTGGAATCAAGCTGTAATAAAAAAAATCTCAGATTTCAAGGGAGATTTTTAACAAGCGATATTCCCAAGAGAAGGATCGCATCATCTCTGAGAAGAACATTATTTGCAGCAAACGCCAAGTATAGTGTTCGCCAGTCGCCCACTTGTCTGTAGAAGAAGAAGACTTAAGGATAGGATCCCGCATCTGACCACTAGTGTGTGCATACATCAGTTCATCTGCTGCTATGAAGCCAGGTACATCGATCGTTCGACGCGCATCCTTTCCAAAAGGATTCAAGAACACTATCCAGCCAGCATGGCTGAGAAAAGGTAATAGTGGAGCAATAAGGAGTGCGATAACTGAACACTTGGTTAACACTGATCATTCCATTTCAACAAACGCCTTCTGCTTCAAAGTAATCTGCAGAGTTAGGAATAACCTACCAAAGGCAATAAATACGGTTTCGTCTTCTCCGTATCGCCGAAGCTCTGGCCGTCCATTCACATAGAAAAACCGTAGCTGTGCATACAAAAGAGAATTACTCAACGAATTCTAGTATCATAGTACCAACTTTGTTGATTTTTGATGACTTAATTTTGTTTGGTTGCTTGTTTCTTTAATTGCTTGTATATTCATTTAAGAACTCTTACGTAATTTCATATTCTTTACTTTGTTTCTATTTTCATCCTGAGTACAACTCAATCATCAAACTATTCATATTCTTGCCCTAGTTACTACTCTAGTTTCATTAACAGCCAATTTTCCTGACCGTTTTTGTATTGTGTAACTTCACCCAAAACTTTCTAATTCTCACCTCCCCCTTAGTTAAAATAACCATAACC